AAACCACAACGACTAGAAAGCAGAGCTTGAGTTGCTTACCATATACACGCACTGAGACGTTAACAGACTTGAAGGATGAGCCACTATCCACATGACAGGTGTAAATGCCTTTGTCTTTGCTCTGCACTTTGTTAATAATAAGAACACTGTAGAATATATTGGCATGGGAATTGGCTTTGCCCAATCGCCACCTTATAGAGGCACTCTTACTTGCCTAGAAAGAAATGGATAGCCAGTTAGAAGTAGTAATTGTTTACTCTTAAAATGATAGTACATCTGGACTGTTACCGAGATCAACATTCCATGCTGAGGAGCAAGAGGTTTGGAAATTATATCTCTGGCTGGATATTTCAAATATGCGACATGGTGGCATTTTTTGAGCACTTCCTCTTCTTGGGGTGGACTTTCACATACATCATCTCAATCGTTTCTCACAACTACCCCGTCAGATTGGTGGGATTATTGTCCTTTTACAGATGGACCCTGAAGTGTCAGAGACACTGGCCAAAGTAGGCAAGAACTAGGTCTCTGAGTAGAAATCTAGCATCTTTGCAGCACACACACTTCTCTAGACAGAAACATGTTCTCTAGGACAGATCTCACACAGACGCAGGCAAGCATCGTTAGCATCTGGTTTAATCGCAGTGTTTCTCTTAATAAATCACCACATGAGTTTTCTTCTGCTTCCTTACTTGAATTGAAGGAAAAGAAAATGAGTCCTGGCTACACCTACTAAGGTGTAACACTCCCAGTTTCGTTATTTCACCATTTGGGCAATGCTTGCCAATTTCATTAAATCACTCTAAATGGGGAAGAGGACATGCAAAGCCGTCGACACGGTCAGCCGGCACTTGGGGGGCGCTGCCTGGCATTTGCTTGGGGGCACCTAGAGCAGGCCTCGAGTCAACTGGCGCACATAATATATTATTTCTTTCTCTCAATTCTTCCTCACAAGGGGGCATGGAAAAAAGACTTTGGAAACTGTCCAGAACTGATCTTTGAGTCTTGAACGTCTCTCCTCTTCACTGTGTTTCATAACTTCTACCCACCTGTCCTTTCATTGCTCATTGGAACAGACACACACGGAGGCCATTTCTTCATTCTCAGCAGTAACCAGGGAGAAAAGGTCAATCTCCAACGTCAAAAATCAGACACTCAGTCCCCTGAACTAACACGCTGAGGGACTTTCAGCAACTTCAGTCAGAGCTATTACTCCCCTTTTCCCTTTGAGACTGCTCTCCTTCCCACATCTGAGCAACATCCACACGGCTTCTACCTTGGAAAACAGCTGGTCCTGTGTTTCAGAACTGAGTACCGTAGCCACCAGCCGCATGCGGCTATTTAAGTTAAAACTAAACAAAGTAAAAAATTCAGTTCCTCAGTCACACTAGCCACATCCCGGGGGCTCATTGGCCAAATGTGGCTAATGAATACTGTGTTGGACCGCAGAGCTATAGGATATTTCCATCGCAGAAAGTTCTGTTGGACAGTGCCATTTTAGAAGGTTATTGGCTTTCAACAGATGTGTCATCACACTCTTACTTAGAGTAGCAACACCGACAGGATAAAAGTTTCTTCCCTCTTGGCATTTATTCAGAATATTTGATTGACTGAGAATATTTGATTTCTATCAAAACCCAGAAAATATTGCTCTAAGTTGTAGCATTTCTTTTTAAATGAAACAATACCACTTTCAAGAAAGTACTTTGACTATTGAGTCCTTAATGCGTCCCTACAAGGCACTTGTTACACCTTTTTGTTGCTAAGTTATTAGATTTCCACGGCAAGAAAGGTTGATGAAAAACAATAGCTTGGGGCTGATGCATTAAACTAGCGTACATAATTTAATCATAAGTGAACTTGGTGACTGGGTGATCTGAATAACATAACAGACGATTGGCCTTGGGATATGCCACATAAATCACACCGACAAGAAATGGGGGCTGGAACGACTGTCAAACATTTATGAACAGTTTATCATATGTTCCCCATCTAACATTTTTAAAGTAATTATTGTTTGCAAGAATGTTTAATTTGTATAAGGGAACCGGACTCAGTCTTCATTCTTCTCATTTTTCTGAAGGACAGAATTGCTCCTTTGTCACTTAACAAATGAACACTGGATGGCTGGGTTGTATTATCTTTTCCAAACACGCTCCAATCAGGAGCCTGACTGTCTGCCAGCATCTTAAATTAATGCTCTGACAACAAAAAGTTGTTACAAAAGATAGTCCCCGCCTGGTATTCACGATAAATTTCTCTCTCATCTCTAAATCCTAGAGGATGGTTTCCAAGGATGAAACAATCCCTTTTTCCACTCAGAACCATGCAATAGAAATACCAGTCTATACACTTCAAAACAAAACCTCTGGACATCAAAAGACCATATCTATGCCTATCAGACTCATGAAATGCCAGGCCAGGAACGCACCCACCAAAGCTGCTTGATTGACTCAGACTGTCGTCGGAGTCAGAGTATTCTGATTTCCCCACTGCAAAAACACAGTGACTTTTCACTTACTAAAAATAAATACTATCCTACTGAAGAAACAGAAAGATCGGTCACTCACTTCACCAGGGTAACTCCAGGTTATGTGAACTCTCCCGTTGACGGGTGTGGTGGCGGTGCAGTTGAGGGTAAGAGCATGACCTCTAAGTAACTTGACGGGGCTCGGTGTGCTCATTTGGACATCAAAGACTGTGTAGGCTGCAAGCACGAGAAACAACATTGTTTTAAATGAAGGTTTCATTAAGCAGACTAAACCCTTGAGATTTTGGTTTATGTTCACGCCTTTGGAATGTCACTTACTTTGTCGAAATGAGAGATAGTTTGTCTGGTACAAATGTCCATTGACTGTTGTCTCACAGGTGAGAAGCCCTATTTCTTTGTATGTTGCATTTGAAATTACAAAGCCCTTCCTACTGTCCCAGATTATTCTTGTTCCATCAGGGATCAGAGTAGCAAATGGAAACTGAAAAGGAAGAAACATGCTTTAACAAAATCATATTAACTGTGGCAACAGTGTGTCACTGTTTGTGCAAACATAATTTTCATCTAAAATAAAAATAGCACAGGTAAAAAATCAGTTTATTATAAGTGGATCTTCAGTTTTCTTTGCATGTAGCAAGGTATACATTTATTATGATAGAGTAATTATGGTAATTGATTATCAGCCTTAGCAACCATCTGCACCTACCTAGGTTGGACCTAGTTGTCATGTCAGACTTCTAGTGGAAGCCTGTGTCTCTTTGGCCTCTGGGAACCTTAGTAATAAACTGGCCCGATACTCAATAGAGAAACCAATTAGTGTTTTTTTTCCACTGGGGCTGTCAGGTTATTCTCATGAATGTCTTTATCTGGAGCTGTTAACAAGCTGTAACTTGTCCTCCTATTTCGCATGATTCACTAGAGGTGACAGTCTTTAAAGGACTAGATCCTTCCAGATCCTCCAAGATTCAGAGCATTCACTGGGTTGTCATTCTGAGAAGCCCAAGGGCACTGACTGCTTCTGGAGGGGAAACCCCGCCCTGGCAAGCTGAGGCTGAGGTGGCTGGAGGCACTGTGATGGGTGGAGTGCCCTCTAATTCTTCAAAGTGTTCTCAAGCACAGTGAGTCCAAGCAGAAGAGAAGAATCCAGGATCTGATTCTCTCCTTATGCCTTCTTCTAGGCCCCAAGGACTTCATTTTTAAGGACTACAGTATAAACAGTCTGCCTTGGGATTAGACGTTAGAAAGGGTCATTGCTCTACAGAGGGGCCCGGCCAAATTCCCCTGATGCCAGGTTGCCAGCCCAGGTTCAGAAGCAGTACCTACCCTCTGACTGCCACTATTGTTTGTCCCAACTTGGAAAAGGGAAAAACATGAGATTACCTTTCCAGCGGAGATTATAAAGGAAAGGCCAAACTACCGGGAAGAAGTTTAGAATCTTTTCTATCTTCTTTTAATAGTACAACTTACATCACTCTATCCATTTATCATTTGTTTATATTGCTTGTTGAAGGAGCTGATCTGGTTGGGATTTGTGGTCCTGGGGCTGAATTTCTATCCCAGAGTCACTGGTGCCTCTCTCCCAGTGAATGTGTCTGGGTATGCAAATATGTTACCTGAGTGTTACTTGGGTTTGAAATGAATCACATTCTGTTTATGAAGAACTGAAAGACACTGATGGGTGGATGCCTTGCATTCAGTGGGGAAAAACAACTTTCTCTTCTAACTTAGTGCAAACTATTAAGGGAAAAATTCAGAAAAATTTAAGTAGGGATTGAAATCATGATGCTTTAAAAATATGTGAAAACAAGCATGTCCTGAGTCTGAAAGATGGAGTTGCTGATGATGTTCCTCAGCACAGCTTAAAAACACAGTAACATTTCCTCTAAAGTGTTTAGCTTGTTCCAATCTATCCATGACTGCCACCAGTAGGATTTCATTGGCAAGTAACTTTACTTCTAGCCGACAAGAGCTAAAATTGCAAAAGACTATGTAGCTCCTCAGCTGCAGCAGCAGCTGCACATGTTATAGAGGCAGGTGGATGGGGGCTTTAAAAGAAAGGACTGCCAGGGAGGCCTGTCTCCAGCAGGCATGGGAAAAGGAGAGGGAGGGGACGGCAAATTGGAAGAAAAGGCAAGGGAAAGGCCTATATTAATTTCATGTCAGCATACATATGTAATAGGTTATAGTATTTTCAATATGTGCCAAACCAGAATTCTTGTTACAACTTTGTGCTCTCTTCCCTACCCCCTCATAGATTTTAGGTAGAAAAACAGAGTAAATAAACTCCCCCGCCCCAAATTTTTTTACGTGTGTGAATTTGTGAATGTTTCTTGCAACAGAGCTGCATTAGGGCAAAAAATAGGGAGCTTGCATGAAACAAAGAAGTTTTATATTAATCACATAGCAATTAACCTATCAGACTGAGAGGAGTAATGACTTGCTATTGAAAACATAACTTGATAATAATCAATTAATGAGTATTAAACTGCTAGATTAAATAATAAAAATGCTAACCCTTGATTAGGGCTTACCCTGCACCTGGCATTGTTCTAAGTGCTTTCCATCGACGACCTCACTTGGCATTCCTAACAACCATGGGAGGTGGGCGCTGCTGTAATTGCTCCCATCTCTACAATGAGGACGCTGAGATAGACAGAGCGTCGATTACTTGCCAGCTTGTCCAGCAGGTAAGTGCAGGGTGGTAAGAAGCCATGCAGGGGCTCCTGGGCCTCTGCTCTCAACCATACTGAGCTTCCTCCTGTGCAAACTAGGCAATCACAGAAGAGCAGCAAGAGCACGGGGAAGTCAGGATACGGGTTCCAGAGCCCAGTATGACCTGGGAGGCCCCCTACTCCCTGGGAACCTCAGGTTCTTTCTTCAACCAATGGAGTTAGACTCCTATGCTCTTCCTGGCTCTGACATACGAGGATTTTATATTTCCTGGTAATGATACACAGATGTAATAGGACCCAAACCTGTCTCTGATGGACTGTACTGAGGGCTTAAATTGACAACACAGGAGAGTGAATGCAAAGAAAGAAGACAGGGAGACACCACATCACATTTCAGTGCCCAGGGTCCATAGGCAATACTGAAAATCACTCTAAACTTCTCCAAATGGCCCCACACACATCCTGAGCAGCTACTATGTGGTGGGACAGCCATAACTTTTTCTCTTAAAGCTCTAAGCTCTCAGGAGTCACTAGGTTTTCATTTTAGGAGCGTCCATTGACTTCTTAGTCTTAGTGTATTCCTAGCAGGACTGTCACAGTTCAGCTTGTGATTTTATTAAATTCTACCCTAAATCTTTTTTCTTATTCTCATGAAAAATTTACAAGATAATAGGAAGAAAAATCTCATTTATAACATTCTTTCCCCTCTAAGAGGCTAAGTTTGGATGCCCAGCAGGAGCAAAGCCCTTTGTTACCAGGTACAAAAACTCAGACCAAAGCTGGGTGCTCTGGAGAACCAGCCCGCCCCACCCATGGCTCTGCTTTAGCACGTCTGGATTCACCGCTCTGCCAGGCTACTCATTTGTGTAAGCAATAGAACTGCTATTTCTCGCATTTGCAGACACTTGAATTTGTGGCAAATACAAAGGTTTTCATGATTTTAGTTCTATCATTATTCACTGATTTATGCTTAAGGCATTATCACTTTATCCCATTTAAATACACGCACGGGTATAACTTCTAGCCCTCATGCTTTATGGTAAAGGATGTGATTAAAAAACCCACCGAGAAGCCCAAATGTCTGTAAGGAAATTAGTCCGTGGGTAAAAAATATCAAAAATTCATTATGTTCATTTGCAGTAAAAATATTCTGAGACTAGCATAGCTCAACTTTACCTTTTTTAAAGTAACAGTGATGTTGGGTGACGTAACCCGGCAGGGAACGACGAGATCCCTTCCTTCAGTCATATATATCGTTTTAGGTATTTCACTGTGCATCTCTAAGAAGGGTCTCCCTGTATCTGAATGAGAAGAAAATGGAGAAATATACACACACATATATATATATAAATGATTATATGACAAACATCTAGCCCCTGTGCTGGCGGGGCAACATGGACACTGCCACAGTGTATCATTCCCCGCCATGTAACCCGGACATTCCCATTCTTATCCCTGAATTTGGCTCTCCATGTTCTGCCCAGAAGAAGAAGCTTCTTAATAAAACGGAATTGCTTATTCAGATCTCTGCCTGCCATTAGATTGCTCTCTTGGCCTAAAATGCAATTGTGACAGAGGGAGGGGGTGTGTATAGACCACTCTGGGGAAAAGCCACAAGAATGCAAGTGAGAGAGAATGGAGACTATTCTGCATAAACTCCTCACTACAGCTATGCTAAGTGCCTCAGGAAGCCCCTCCAGAGCCTTTGTAAGAAGTCACAGGAAGTTGCAATGATCACTTGTCTTTGGAGCACCTGTGACACAGACAGAGGGGTGGGAAGGTGTCCAGTTGAAGGGGTTAGCATTTGAATGACTAAAGATTTGAATGACAAAGATTAGGGCAGGGGAGAGGCTGGAGAAGCAGTGGTGAGCACTGCAGTCATTCCATGCCTTCAGTAGGTCTGTGTCTCTGGCATGCACCACTTCCCTGTTAACAGAAAATATGAGCAGATGCAGGTGAAGAGGTCAGGGAAGGGCTTTAAATCGGCACCAATATACTACCCTTTAAAGTATGGCATTTGGCCAATCTCAGAGGCCATTAGGATTCAAGCCACCTGTTCCAACTTCTCTGTAATTCTGGGGATAAGAATAAGCAGTAGATCCTATTAAAAAAGTCCTCACATGTAACAGGCCTTTGCCCTTGGAAACCCATTGACATTGATCTCTTCAGGGTTACTGTGTTCACATCTTCGCCCCTCAGTTTCAGCCTGATGGAACGAAGTCCTATGTTAACTCTCGGTCTGTACCCGAAGGAACTAATTAGGCCTCCACCTGCTTGCTGGAGCTGAGGAAGCTCATTCTGGATGCTGAGTGGAGAATGAATTTGGAGAAACAAGAGTAGTAAAGTAGGCAATGGTTGCCTAGACTCAACAGTGGCTCCAGAGATTGTTATGAGTTGACCTGTTTTCCCCTCAAAGTAATATGTGTAAGTCTTAACCCCCAGTACTTCAGAATGTGACATCATTTGGGTCAAATAGAGTTATTTCTGATGTAATTACTTCAGTTACTTAAGGTGGGTCCCTGGTCCAATATTACTGGTGTCATTATAAAAAGATGGCCACTTGAAGACGGACATACAGGGGAGAATGCCATGTGAAGACAAAGGCAGAGACTGGAATGATGAAGCTTTAAGTCAAGGAATGTCAAGGACGGCCAGCAACCACTAGAAGTTCAGAAGAAGCCTAGAAGGATGCTCCCCTTCAGGTTTCAGGGGAACAAAGATCTGCTGACACCTTGATTTCAGACCTCTAGTTTCTAGAATGTGAGACAATAAACCCCTGTAATTTTAAGCCAAAAAAAGGGGGCCATTGCTGACACTGTTGTCACCTGTTGAGGATGGGATGGTTTGAAACACACTAGAGAGGGCCCTAGAGAGACCCTATCATCACAGCCCACCTTGTATGCCCCTAGATGCCTAAATAATCCCTACTCATCCTCTGGGAAGCCTTGCAGGCCAGCCCCTTCCTTATACCCTTTCTGCCCCAGCCTATCTTAGGAGTTTTCACAACACCCCCAGCATTCCCCTATTGCAACGCTTCACACACTGACACTGAACTGGCAGTTTACTTCTCTGGCTACACATTGGATGACAAACTCCTAGAGGAGAGGAAATAGAGGAAAAATTGCCTAATGTGTATTAAATGAATGAATGAATGAGCCAATAAATGAATGAAGGGCTGTCCAATCCCATTATAGATGAGAAAACAGAGGTGTAAACAAATGAAATGAGTTGTGTGGACATGAATAGCCAGGCCTGGAGGCCAGTTTCTCCCTTGGGGCTGGAACTCCAGACTTCTTTTGACGGAGGGCTCCCCCACAGGAAAGGCTGTAGGTGGTAATTGTTTTTCAGAGATGGGTCTAGTTTTTGCATGTTCCAGAGAAAATATGTGGCATGTGACACTATCTAGACTTAGAGGAATTCTGAGAAGAAAACGAGGCAGGGCAGGGAGGGCAGCTTAAGGACAGGGCCTTCCAGAAATGGAGAGTCAAAGGGAGGCAACAGATCATGGTGATTAAGAGCACACACTGGACAACCTGGGACTGAATTCTGGCTCTGCCCCTTACTAGTTGTGAGACCTCAAGCAAATCATTTTACCCTCTGTGCCTCACACATAAAATGTACTTCAAAGAGGTCAGAAGGAGGCTTGCGTGAGTTAATATATGCTAAGTGCTTAGAATGGTACCTGGCACATGGTTAGTACTATGTATGTGTTAGCTGTTACTTCTCTTCATATTATGAGAAATTTGAACTTATGGAGAGAGGGGGGGTTAGGATATATAAAAATCACAAATTATACTCATGATCTTGACTANGAGAAATTTGAACTTATGGAGAGAGGGGGGTTAGGATATATAAAAATCACAAATTATACTCATGATCTTGACTATTAAAAATATAAATATATATTCATATAATGGCACCAAAAAAAAAAAAAGACAAAAATATATACACTAAAATGTTAATGATGATCTTTGAGTAGTGGCTTTATGAGTTATTTTCTCATTTACCTTCTTCTGTATTTGTCAGGTTTTCTAAAATGACTGTGTATTATTTTATAATAACATTTTAAAAAGATTTTTTATTGATTTTTAGAGAGAGAAGAAGGGAAAGGGAGAGAGAAAGAAATATCCATGTGAGAGAAACATTGATTGGTGGCCTCCTGCACGCCCTCTACTGGGGATGAAGCTCACAACTAGGCATGTGCCCTGACAGGGAATCAAACCAGCAGCCTTCCGGTGTACAAGATGACTGATGCCCAACCAACTGAGCCACATTGGCTGGGTCTCTAATAACATTTTTAATTACTTGAGGAAAACTACAAAATTTGCATTTGATTTAGTTTGGTCCAATATAAGAGAATGAGACATTAACTATCAAAGTTTATAGTTATATGTCTGTTAGGAAAGCTCAGTGTGTGTAGTAGCATATGCACTATGCAGAGAGGAAACGCTAATTAACAGGGACAAAGATTCATTATCAGCACGAAATTCCTCCTCTAAATAAAGCTGCTGAGCTAGACAATCGGGTGGAGACTATTGGGATTTGATCATTCCTTTCCTTCCTCCCGTGAGTCTATATTTTGTCTCCTTTGTGAGTCCCAAGGTAAACACAAACACCAGGAAATGGGTTAATTCATGTAACTAAACCATAAATCCTTCACATTAAATTTACTGTCTCCTTAAGCAACCATTTTCAACCAAGGACACTGGCATAAAATTCCTGCAGGAAAGAGTAAACATCAGTGTAGTCACTACTAGACTAATGAATGCCAATCCCAAATGAGCACAGAAGTCGTTCATTCAGTGTGCCTTTGGGTTTCTTCTTTCTCTATGTCACTTTGGATCCCCTAAACACTTGAATTTTACTACAGCTATTGTCCTTTAAAAGCCAATAGCAATTTCAGCACTGGGCCCACTGCAATTCTGTTCAAAGATGTCGGAACCAATGAGTTGTGTCCATCCTCACACAATTCAAAACACATCATTTGTATCACACCTACAGTGGCATTATAAATCCACTGTCTTTGCAAATGAGCTCATGACTGTAGAGACATACACACACACAAACAATATCCTCTGGGCTTATTAATAGTATACTTCCTCTGCAGTTTGCTTCAAGGAAGGGCTAAGAATGACATGTTAGAATTACAAACATTTTTTGTTTTGTAGGACTATAGATACAGAAGAGGTCACGGTTCCATTAATATCACCAGTAAAACCACTTACTATTCCCATAGGACACATTTGTCTTTGTCACAAAATTAAAAATGACTTCCAAACCCAGCCACCACTGCAGTGTGGTTTCCTGAGACCAAATTGGCTAGTTGTTGAAAGAGTGAGGAAGAGCTACTCCAAAGATTGCCAGTGCCCTGGCAGCGCAGACACACTGTCACCGGGGACTCATGCCAACACACAGTTGGGTAGAGGTCACACCACCCTCCCCTCTCTGAACTCTTGGAGCTCAAAGCAGTGACAGGAAACTGGCACAGAACATGAGGTTTTCTCATCCAATGGGAGTATCTGGGCTGTCATCCTTCAAAACAAGTGGACTCAGGCACACGGAAAGATCAAACAGGGACCCTTCCTCAGAATGGCATTACATTTATTTTTTAAAAATGTTTTCTTTCTTCCTTTTGAAATCTGTAATCACTTTGGCACATTAGGGCACACAGACAGAGGCCCCAGTGTGCCATCCTCACTCTACTCCATTTCCCACTGGCATCGCCTCAGAGTTCTACTGGTTTCAGAGCAAGTGAATGACCCAAAGAATTCAGGGAGCTTTTCTGACTTGAGGGGTTGAAGAGTAAATATCTTGTTTACTAGCATTTGGGTGTTTTTTAATCTTTATCTGAGGATGTGTTTTTTTATTTTAATCTTTATTGAGAGAGAGAGGAAAATGTCAATTGGCATCTCCTGCTCCCTGACCTAGGTATGTTTCTTGACTAGGAATTGAACCCGAAAACTTTTGGTGTATGGGGCAATGCTCCAACTAACTGAGCCACCCACCCAAGGCACTAGCACTTGTTTATTCCTATGATTTTTATATATGTTTCCTGATTTCCTTTCCCTTTAATTTCATTTTCCTTAACTTTGGCTTGTGGTCATGTGGATTCCTAGTTATTTAAAAGAGGGATTTAAATTTATTGAGGATGAAGTGAAGAAGACAAGGAACTGATTAAGCAATCCCATGNTATGATTTAAATTTATTGAGGATGAAGTGAAGAAGACAAGGAACTGATTAAGCAATCCCATGAATAAAGTCCTATTTAGACACAAGGGTTTTCCCATCACGCAGGTCTTTG